CAGATGTGAAGAATGAGGCAGAATGAATCCCACTCCCCAAACGGCCCGATACTTATAGTTATTAGAGGGAAGGCGAAGGGTTAAAGTAACCTCGAAAATCCCAACCGTCAGACGTTTCGAATTTCAAAATTCGCCCGCCCAAACGAACCAACCAGGTAAGGACACGTGGACACCTATCCCAAGTGGGTACTAGCCGCTGACGTAACTAGTTACGCACAACGCCTGGGGGGCATGGCACACCCGCGGGGAAAAGAAAAATCTCTCGCGAAGATCGCGAAGAAAGGGGAAAAATCTCGGAAAGATCGCACACACTATTCAGAATCTCGGACCTTGAAAAAATCTCGGAAAGATCGCACACACTATTCAGAATCTCGGACCCCAAGATCCGCGCTCTATCAGGCAACTACAACAGAGCCTCTCGCGCAAGCCACGGAACACGCGAGGAACAATCGCAACTGCGATAATCACGCTCGATCAATTACCGCGCCGTCGATGATTCGAACCTCACAAGGACCGAGCGCACGATCCCCCAGAGATCGCGCGCTATCAGGCAACCACGACAGAGCATCTCGCGCGGCTACGGAATGGCAAGGCGCACGCGAAGAATCCCGGGAACAGCGCCCAGGCCCGAGTCAATCAAGCGAAGACCTAAACAGAGGGCGCTCTCAGAACACCCTCTGATGGGGGGCAATTGTTGGGCATGTGACTCGGACCTAGCTGTGCAAGGCAGGACGCGCCGACAGAAGGCGCGCACGAGGGTCCAAGGCGCGCATGAAGGCCTCTATGCGTGCGCGAGTGGAGAGAACCAACGCGCGAGGATCCAGAGCCCCTCACGAGCTGCGCGAGAGTGAAGTATCAAGGCGCGGAGGCTCAGGTGCGTCGTAAGCCTCGAAGCCATAAGGAGCTCACTTCACACTTCCCGAGGGTCGGCCGCATAGGGATCAGTGACACAGTCGTAGGTACACCCCTGACATGTCCTAGGTAGGGGGATGGCCGAAATCCCCAACGTGTCAGTGGTCACATCAGAGCCTAGGTCCCATCATGTAATCCAACCACTCACCCACCACCATGTAGCCTATAAATATGGCATTTACTCCGGTGGGTGAGGGGATGGCATTTTTCACCACTCTCTCTCTACAATAACAACTTATCTCTCTAATATCTCTTCTCTGGTTCTCTCACAACTCTCTAGTCTGTGACTTCTTGATCAAACCCGTTACTTGCACTTCTTCTTGACCCCAACCCTTACTCGAATCTAACTCCTACTCCCAGTTAGGTTCAAACAATATTATATCCTTTATTAAACTATATCCGACACATATAAGTTATTACAATTATTGAAATACATCATCGAAGTTGTCCGGTTAAATTTCCCCACTCCCCCGTAAAATCCACCAATGGGCATCGCAGCTAGCGGTCATCAGATGGAGAGAATGTTTGCAGCAGCCTTTCAGGACAAACACCACGACAAATGTTGCAACTATTCCTACGCCCAACTCACCTCATCTTATTTCAATACCTTCCAAAATCTCCCTCTCCCTCTCAATTTCACTGCATATATATATAATATTCACTACAAAACAAAACATTTTAAAAATGATATATGAGATATTCATACAATAAAGTAAGGGGGGAAACCTGAAACCTTACTATACCGACTGTTTAACCCGAACCCCTTAATATTTAGTGTATTAACGGTTAAATTACGTTTATATCTTAAAAAAATGCAAGATAGAAAGTTTTTTTTTTTCCTTCTTTACTTTCTATATTAAGAAATTAATATGTTTGTCCATACATAGAGAGGATTACACAACACAAAGAAAGTTATGGCTCTGTCAAATGTCAATTGCTCTCTGCATTCTATACCCTTCCGGTTTATGTTAATGTGGTGCATTATTTGGGTCGGGGGGTCGGAAAAATAGTTGTTCCAATACGGCAATCTAAAATCAGATGTAAGGCTGACAATAAGTTCAGTTAGGTTATAACCAAAATTGTTTAGTGGATTTTCTGTTAATCATTAAAAACTTGTGCTTACCGTTAACCGTACTGTTTATATTGGTCAGTAACCATAACCGTATTGTCGGTTCTTGGTTATTTTGTTAGTTAACCAGATAACAATTAAGCAAGTTATTCGACAAGGCGTTTAAACCAAAATAACCGATCGGTAACCTAATCAAGAGAAGACCTCCTTTTTTTCAATTGTGCATTTGTCTAGATTTTTTTCCTACATACATATGTATTCTTCTTTAAATTGTTATCATCTAATAAAAAATAATTTAACATAGATATCCATCCATAAACTTAATCTAACACAAGTACACAATAACATCGTTCTACCATCAAATTATGAAATTAGACTGGATGGTAAGACTCTAAATCCCTCCTCAATGACCTTTGTTCAAATCTCTTAAGAAGGGATTATGTAGCTCCCTAATTAAGATTTCTAACTTTGTCATGAAAATATCTAAAAAGAAAGAACAAATTACGGACTTTCACCAGGACTCAACACAAGTCCATTTAGTGATGGCAATTTCAACCCGTCCCGCGGGTATTACCCGACCTGACCGGTGATGGGGCGGGTATTACCCGACCCGCAGTAGCGTGGGGCGGGGCATGGGTATCTACTTCCGACCCGCCCTGCCCGGCCCCGCTCCGTTCTAGACTCATTTTATCTCAATTTCTTAAAATATCTATACATATTTCTCCTATTTTGAGATTTCTTCAACTAGTTAGAGACGATCTTTCAACTTGTTAGGCTCAATTATCCATTCTATTATCAATATTTTTCATTCTTAAAGTGTTTTTCCCAACGTTTCATTGTAACAAGTAAAATTTACTTGTATTTTTTTTAACAACATGTAAAAGTAGGTCGACCCGCCCCGCCCCGTACCCGCGCGGGTTTTACCCGCCCCGACCCGTAGTAGCGTAGGGCGGGGCATGGGAATTGAGGTACCCGCCCCGCCCCATTGCCATCACTAAGTCCATTGTTGAAATAAAATGTTGAAAATTTGGTTGGATTAGACTAATTGGGTTAAACTGGTTTGAGACCGATCAAATTAAATATTCTAAATTTCATGAAGGGACACATACCTTTGGATTTAATGGTGGTTGCATTTTTCATCGACAATGACAAACTTTCATATGGATAATACAATCTTTCATAAAACAGTTCATTGATTGAACCTCAATAAATATTTGTGAGGGGTGGATGATGCAACATATAATCAAACTGATTTGATATTTTTATCACCGGAAGATATTTCTTGTAACTCAAAGATTTGTGTAAGGTGAAAATATTCTTTTCACCATGTGAATAATGTTCAAAACTTTATCACAATGTTTCAAACTATTATACGTAGGGCCGTAAAGTCTAACACCGAAGTCACGTGGTATTACCAGTGAATCAACTACTTCTTCTTTCGGAAAACTTCAAAGTTTGTTTACCGTTATTAAGTCTGGAATCTAAAATGATGATATTTTTATCTTTGGGAGAAATTTCTTGTAATTCAAGGATATGGATAGATGAAAATATTCTTTTCAAAATATGAAGTTAATTCAAAACTTTATTACAATGTTAGTCTTCCCATTTCGGACTATCATACATACACCCGGATCGGTAAAGTCTAAACACAGAATTCACATGGTATTACCTAGGGGTGGAAATCGGTACGGTATCGGTATCCCAATACCAAATACCGAAATCCCAAATACCGAATTACACCCTGAAATCAATCCCAATCCCAATCCCTAAATAATTTCGGTATCCCAATCCCAATCCCAATCCCTAAATATTTCGGTATCCCAATCGATACCTCGGTATCCCAATCGGTATTATCAAATACAAAATTAATTACCTTCGCAATTAATAATTAAATATATAAATTAGATTTTATTGTTTAATTTAGGTCAAAGAGACTAAGCAAAGAGTCTTGAGTTGCCTCCAGCTAACATCTCAAGATTTTGTAATTGATAATCTTTAATTTGATGAATTTGAGGTTGAGAGACGACTAATACTAGTGTGAAATAGTGATGTAATGATCTATGTATAATTAAATGACACTCTTGGTGGTTGAGGGTCGCGTAGTAGTGAATGAGAGAGTCTAGTTGAGAGGATAAAATACACACTAGCTTATATTTCGGTATTGATCGGTATTTCGGTATATACCGATCCCAATCCCGTAATCCCTAATACCGAATAACAATTGAAACTCAATCTCAATCTCAATCCCACAAAATAATACGTGTATTCGGTAATACCAAATATAGACAAATTCGGTACGGTATTCGGTATATCCCAAATATCGGTACCAAACTTCCAGCTAGACTATTACCAGTGAATCGACCACTTTTTTTCTGTTTCCACCGCTAGGTGGTCTTAGTAGCGATGCACTAGAAAATAGAAATAGTGGGGTTTTTGGATGGGTCACATAATAGTGGAATTAAGGGGCAGTTTCTTTTGCTTCCCAACAACTGCTGGTTTTACCATTTAGTGGGGGTTATTTCCCATTTAGGAACAAAGTTAGTGGCCAAAAGAAAGCCATTTGTCTGATCCCCCCAGACTTCCTTTTTTACTCATTATTATATTGTGTTCTGAACACCATCCCAAAGAAACAACAAAAACAGGGTAACAGTTTTCTTTCTTTCTTCATTTCCTCTCAAGACCCAAATATCTACAACCAGTTAGAAAATTATCACGAATCATCTTAAAAATTAACAATCAATTCGGAATAAGATCACCAACACGAGTTAGAACACCTGTATTATGCTCATTAAGAGCACATGAGATTAGGAAGCCTCGACCGAATCACACTTGTCACAAAATGTAATTGTGTTTAGTCAACAAATGCAAGTCGGAGAGATTATGCAAAGAGATTGGAAAGCTTCCAGGACAAATGTAAATTGTACATGCCTACTTATTATAACTTCTGAGTACGACTGGAGTACGTTTAACATTATATTTCGGAGGGAGTTGGATGAAAAGAAGCAAGTTTCGAAAATACTGATAATCTTTTCCCCCTGTATTATGACGCGAATTTAACAAAAGAGAAACAAAAATTGAAGTACAAAAAAATTATCTGCCCAAGTACTTATTTATTTCTCTGTGTTCCCTTCTACCCCCCTTTATTTTCCACCCAAAGGAGTTGCCCCCGTCCCGCCCACGATCAAAATGCTAAGTCACAGACCATATTAACATAAGAACTGGCCTTTTTTTCTTTACTGATTACCCTCTACCTGTACTAAATTTGTCCCTTCTTGTTCCTTTTTTTTTTTTGTGGCCTTTTCCTTCTAATCTTAAACTAATTAACGTTCTTTTTTCGGTGGCAGCCTCCCTTTCCTTCACTTCTTCCCTCAATGTTGGCAATTCACAGGTCAGTCACACCCGCCGCCGCCGGTTGCTGCTGCTGAAGAAGCCAATTTCTGAAGGCGTCGAGGGTATTCATGTCGGCTCTGTAATGCTTTTGGGTGAACTCCAGCAAGGTTGGCCATGTGAAATCCGGGTACACCCTGGGATTGTTCTCGTCCACCAATTCCTCCGGCGGCGTCACGATCTTGTCGCTCTTTGGGCACAGAAAGAAAGCCAGGGACTTCCTCGCCGTCGTGCTGTTCACCACCGCTCTGTGCAAGCAGCTCTTGAATTGCCCGTTCGACAGCGCCTGTTTGGTTGTTACCACAAAATGAAACATTTTTTAGATTTCGCCGAGGCAAAGGAAGAGAACCCAATTTTTTGAATTGGTGAATCTTTTTCGAGAAATTAACAAGTTTGGATCTTTTTTGTTTACCATGAAGGTGTCGCCAATGTTGACGACAAAGGCATTGGAATTGGGGGTGATGGAGCGCCACTCGTTGTCCACAAACACTTGAAGCCCACCCACTTGGTCCTGGTGGAGGATTGTCAACGACGTCGGATCGCAATGAGGCCCTGTTCCTAATGTGGCGTCAGGTTTTTGGCAGGGTGGGTAGTAGTTCAGCCTCATTATCGAGTCGTTCTCTTGGAAGAATTCTCTGAAATGCGATCTCTTCTTCACTCCCAGGCTCAATCCCAGAAGCTCCATGATCCTGAGGGAAAGCGTGCTCATCGCTTCGCAGTAGTTCTGGTACACATTCCTGTTAAGAAAGGAAGAAGAAGAAAAACCCATCAGTTGGAGAGAGGGAAAAAAAAACAGAGGAAAAAACAGAGCGTTGTGAAAAACAGAGTGGTGGGAAAACAGAGTAAATTTTTTTTTTGTTTGTTAGCAAGTTACCCGAATTCCGAGAAATCTTGGCCCATTCTGTCGAGGAGATAGTCCCGAACAATTTCAGCCGACTCCTTTTCGGCGGTAAACCGAAAGGAAAGCGTTTCTTTCCATGGAAGCTTGGAGGAAAACCTCCCCGTGAAGCTACTGGCGTAACCGGCGCTCTCTCCGAGTTTCCTCTGCGCCTTCTGCTTCTCAGAGAGCGGGAGCTCGAAAAAATCGTCCATGAACTTATGGGCATCGGAAAGCAGCTTGCTTTCCACGCCGTGATTAGCTACCAGGAAGAACCCGTGCTTCCGGCAGGCGTCGCCGACGAGTTTCGCGGCTTCGTTTGTGGCGGCAGGGTCGCCGGAAAGGAACCCGCCCAAGTCGATTATTGGGACTTTAAGCTCCGGGGCATTGCCTCTCGGCTTGTCGTGGTCAGGCCAGATGAACTGCTGGGGAATGTTGGATTCGTGCCTCAGGAACTTGGCATCGAACACCAGTGGATTAGCTCCAGCCTTCTGGGCTGTCTGTTCGTCTTTGTTACAACCGTTGGGCTTAGAAAGAACTGATTTCACCGTGTCAACTGCCATTGCATTAACTTCACTGCTGTTGAGAAACAGGGGAGAGGAGAAACAGGGGAGACTGAGAGTTGAGAGTCGAGAGGAGACACAGGGGGGAAAAGTGTTCGATGAAATGCTTAGCAGAGCAGAGGGGAAAGGAGGGAGTGATATAAGTAGGAGATGGGCAGAGGGGGAAGAGTTGGGATAGAGGAAAAGCCAAAGGCCGTTCTCATTGGGAAAATCGGTGAACAAAAGTTGGAATCTTATAGAGTTCTCTTCCTCACTCACTCTTTTTGTCGTTTTCCCCCTTCTTCTTCTTCTTCTTCTTCTTCTCCTCTAATTTTCACCCATTTTCCCTCTCTTTCCTTTTCCTTTCCTTCCAGTTTGTATTTTTGTTATTAATATTGTACTTTAAATTGAACAGGGTGTTTAGTGTTAGGGAAATCTGTATATTGAATGAAATTCAATTATGATTTCTTTGGTGTGGTTTAGTCACATTCCAATTTGGGAGTTTAAGGTAAAACAAGTCATTAAAACAGGGTGGAATGTTGGATTCATACTCACAATCTAGCATTCTACACCTACTTTGGCCACTAAGTATGATTAATTAGTAATTACACTGATTAAGGTTTCACCAGCATAATTAATGTATATCCATCTTGATTTGTTTACCAAAAAGGTAAGGGAAAAAGTTGAGGATGTAATAATAATGTTATTATTATATGGGTAATTAACATATAGTATAGTGGCATGTACTATATGTATTGATAAGAGAACTTCAGTGGGTTGTGTGATTATCTGAGTCAAACATCTTTACATGCAAGAAGCTAATAAAGCTCCCTCTGCTTACCCCCAAAAAAGCAAAATAAGCAAATGAAATCTACCCAATCCCTCCATGTCTGCACAAGTTAAACAAATACATTTCCTACAAAATAGGTGATCTTTACAGTGTATCAGTTTTTGTTTTTGTTTGAAAAGGTTCAAAACATGTTTAAAGAAGCCCACTATTCCATAAGAGTTGGTGAAAACCTTTTAAATTTTTTGGTTATGTAGGGATGACAATTTGAATATGTTTCATCAAGTATAACCAACTTGCAGCTGTATGGAACAAGACAAGAGTTACAACTCCTAACCTGATTCCTCCATCCCATTTTTATCTATCATATCTCAATTTTCCTCAATATATATATTTTTTGTCCTCTTTTTATTTGTTTCCAATCATATTTTCACTCAATGAAATTTTAAATAAGTGTAAGACTTTAGCTTTTAATTATTTAGATTCAATTACTCATTCTATTATCATTTTTTTATGCGTGAAGTGTTTTTCCTTTGTATGATTGTAAAAAAAAAATTAAATTTTATATATTTTTTAAATAACATGTGAGAATGGATCGACATGTCCTGATCCGTACCAGAGCGAGTATTACCCAACCTAACCCAAATTTGGTGCAAACCAGTATAAGATACCCAACCTGCTCCACCCTTCTCATTTGCCATCCCTGCTTATATGGGTTTAAGAGATGATAATAGATCTTTGCAATTTTCATTGATGAACCACTAGTTCGATTCTTAGTCAATATCGTGGTAAGAGCATCGTAGAAAGAAAAGAAAAGTGAAGTTTTAGTAAAATTATGAATTAAGTCAATGATAACTTTTATCTATGAGCGTCGAAGATTCTAAGATAAAGTAGAACAAATAACGAATAGATGAAATTACTAGTTGGTTTCTTAGATCGAATTTGTCCTCCTCCTTGGTATTTGGAGAACTAAAGCATTACATAGACTTGATGTTGGGTCCTTGGCTTGCGACAAAAGAAGGAAACAAGTGTTTTGCTCTCCTAGATTGAGCCTAATGCCTTGGGAGATCTAATTTGACACAACATGCTTGTGAGTTGTGCCGAAGGCTATGCAGTGGACTTCTATGGAAAACTCTTGAAATCAAATTATTTTAAGCTTTATGCCCTCGAAAAGATAAGATTGGAAAATACAAAATAACTAGAGCTCACTAAAGATATCTTAATTTTACACATACTAAATGAGTAAATGTATTCTTGAAATGCATTATTTTTCATAAAAAAATGTAAGTAAGATACTCTTTATATTATTTAAAATCGTATATATCTATAAATTGAATTATTATGGTAGGAACACCCAATGAACGAAATCCAAGCGTAATTTTTTTGTCATAATGAAAGTGATTTGTTAATGAAATGTGATGTGTTCAATAAAACACACCTTTGTTTGGTAGTTATTATTATTGGACAGTTGATGACTCTTTATTAATCATCTAAAAAATCCAAAGAAAGAGTCCTGAAACTGCCGGTCAAAGTTTTGTGTAGAACATATGGTATAAGTTGGGGTAAATAATAATATAAATAAATAAAAAATCTTAAAACCTAACTTTAACTAGAAATGAAAATAGTTAGGTGGGAAATGTAATTAGGTGATGAATCATTATTAATAATTTAATTAAGGTGAGTAATATATTATATCTTTGTAAATGAAAAATTAACAAAAGTAGTATTCTACTATTTTTTCACAAACATAATCCTATATTACAAACGTAACATTTAATAAAAAAATTTCGCTAGTTGACCATTAAAGGGGCAGAAAATTAACAAACTTTCTTCGCTTATTACATAAATTGTTTTGAAATTAATTTTCAATCTTTTTTATTAAAATTAATATTTTAGTCCTTTTATTTATTTTTAAATTTTTACTGAAAAAAAGAAAATATTCAAAAAAGCTGTGCATTGTTTTTTATTTTAATTTTAGCCACTTCAACAGTTAGTTAAAAAAGGAGATTAATTAATGAATCATTATTAATTATTTAATTAATAATAGTGAAAAAGGAGATTAATTGGCCAAGCAGGGGAGCAACAGAAAAGCAAAAGGCTTTGCCGATTGCCAGAGAAGCGTTTCCCAATGGCCTTAACTTTGGCGTTTTGTTGAAGAAGAAAGGCTATTGCTGCTAGGCTCTGTAGTGTAGTCTGTACAACAAAAAATTTGCCCCTCGTTTAGTTTAATATTTTCGTATGGCCTGAACTTTGACCAAAATAAACACCATGGCCAATCTTTTCGATCTATAACATCCTGGCCCGAACTATACACCAAAATAAACAATTTGGCCAGATCCGACTTTCGACCGTTAACTTGGACGGTCAAACGCGTTGACCGTTAATCAACGCGCCACGTCACTGCCAAGTCAACAATTTTCACTTAATTTTTTTTACAATTTCCACCTATTATCATTTTTTTTTACATTTTGAACGCCAAAAAAAAGTTAAACACAAATTAATCAAAATAAAAAATAAACTCATCTCCTCTCTGATCCCTTTCACTCCCCGCTGCCATCTGCTCTCCAAAAATCATATTCTGCTAATCCTTCTTCCATCACAATCAACTGTAAATGCCCCAAGTGTAAAGTCCAATCCATCTCCCCTGTCACTGCCCTGGAGAACCTGGGTGATTATCCCCAAAATTCCCAAATCGTAAATCAAATAAAATCCGAAGTCCAAACCTTTACTCGTCATCATCATCGCCAAACGGAGGGAAATGAAAAGATTGGGTAATGGTCAGCTTCCCTCTATCCATGGCTGCGAGTGCGAAAATGGTGGTACCAAGGTCGATTTCCACAACTTTTCGCTCACCGCCCTTAGTGGATCGTAGCTCCTCTGCTCTCTTTCGGTTGCTCCCGCTGCCGTCGTCGAACCCCAGGGGAGGAAGGAATCAGGCTCACCGACGAACCAGCAACAGCAAGAGGCCCCGCTGCCTTGCTCGAGAAGAGGCAATCGAGCGGGAGTGCGGGCGAATGAGCCGGAGTGAGGGATAACATAGAGGGATTTATTATCCTCTCTGATCTCGATCAACCGATTGAAGACCTCTCTCTCGTAAAAATTCACCGGATCTAGGGTTTCAAGTTCTCGAATTGTCGCCGACTTCCTGGATCCAATGGCAACAGAGTCGTCGGAGGGGGAAGATGAAGGGAAATTACGGGAGGAAGCCATCATCTAGTTGTGGTGGACGACCTGAGAGAGCTGGTGAAAATTCAATTCCATTTGGAGAGGAGACAACAACAGGAGTGAAAGGGGATCGTAGAGGATGGAAGGGTTTTTTTTTTGTTCAAAATGTAAAAGAAAAATGATAATAGGTGGAAATTGTAAAAAAAATTTAGTGAAAATTGTTGACTTGGCAGTGACGTGGCGTGTTGACTGTTAGTCAACGCGTTTGACCGTCCAAGTTAATGATCAAAAGTCAGATCTGGCCAAATTATTTATTTTGGTGTATAGTTCGGGCCAGGATGTTATAGATCGAAAAGATTGGTCAGGATGTTTATTTTGGTCAAAGTTCAGGCCATACGAAAATATTAACCCTTTTTTTTTACAATAAGATACTTTCATTTCTTAACCGAACAAAGATAAAGCGTTACACTCAAGTGATGGAGTTTGAGATAAAATCAAGAATAGTTATCCAATCTTGTGGAAGAGTGGAGTGTGCCTGTCCACGGGCTACCCAAACAACTCGAACGTTAAGACGGCACGGAATGACCACCACCTTGATAAGATTAGATGTTCTCAGAATCCCACACATCATTGCAAGCTTTGCCGAGCAAGGTGAATCAATCTCGTTCCCTACATCCCGCCTTAATTTTCAATACGGTAAATAAAGTAAAAAGTTCATGTCAGGGCAAACAAAAGAAAGGTTGGCATCAAGATGTGTTGGATGTTATAATCTCCTATTAGGTTAATTCATCCTGAGTAAGTGAGTATTATCCGATTTGACTTGTACTGGATTAGGTAATACCCAATTTACAGTAGCATGTAGCGAGGTATGTGTACTAATTCTCCATTTGGTGCAAAATGGATATAAATATTGAGGTACACATTGCCTATGGTGAGATGATTATGGATTGCCATATTTTTTATGATCATTCTCACGTCCAACCATTGGATCAAGATATATGCAACTTACAAGTATGTCCCCGTAATTTGATTTAACAGCCCAAAACTCAGGAGTCGTTGGTTAGACAAC